ACCGCTCCCCCAAAGCACCTCTGCACCCTGTGCTATTCTTTTATTTTCTCCCAAGCAGCACTTTGACAAGTGTCAGCATTCCCTCAGCCAGGCCTGAATCCACCTCCCCCCCCAGGGAGGTACTGCCAGCAGATACCGCCCCCCCCATAGCTGTACGCTGCTCACAGCAGGACAGCCCAGCCCTGTGCAGAACCAGGCACAGCCTGAGAGTGGGTAGGAAAGCAGCACTGCTCCGCTCTGCTGCAGACCCCCTGCAAAAGGCCAGCGGGACAAGTCACCCCCACCCAGGCATCAGCTCCTGCTTCCAAACACCAGCAAGGAAGGGCTGGCTCCAGGCTGAAGGCTATGTTTGCAAGAAGGGGTGCTGTGCTGCTGCTACCCAGGAGGGGATCCCCTGCAGCACAGCTGGAAGGGGGGAGGCACTCCTGCCCCAGCAGCATTGAAACAAGGCCCTGGGACAGTTCAGGGCAGCAGAGAGCAGACAGCTGCAGAAAGGCAGCCGCAGTCCTCCCATGTGAGCGACGCTGGCACAGTCAAGTCACTGTTGAGGTTACTTTTCAATTAATGGCCCTTGTTAAATTAATCCAGAAAGGAAACACAGCTCCATTCAGTCTCAGAGAGGTCCTGGGCCCCAGCCGAGTTGGGTAAGACCCAATGTGCTCTTGTGCATGCAAACAGCAGGGGAGGCACCGAGGGCACGGGGAGCGGGGAAGGGGCTGTCTTCATGCTGCCGGGAGGCCGCACATTCAGCTATGCCATGACCACACGAGAGACCATCTAACCACAGTCGCTCTTTGCTGAGGGGCTGGCACGGCCCTCCCTGGAGCATAAAATCCAGCCCCCCACTACTGCAGTGGGCAGCCGCATCCCGGTTGTACATCTGAGCATGCAGAGATGTCCCCACGCAGAACTTCCCTCCAGGCCAGCTCTGCCCTCACCCTACAGTCCCCACAGTGCTGGGACATGGCCGTGGCAGCTGTGGCTAAGTGCACACCGTGGGCTGCTGCTTGCTTTGGTCAGTGTGTGCTCAGCCTTGTCCCACACCATCTTCATCTCTCCAGGATCATCAGCAATTTGCTGCACCGATTTTATAGATATTAGGGCTGAGGTGTCAGTGTGTGTTTGGTGGCTCGCTTACAGCCCCCAGGAAGATGAGTTGTCCCTGGTAAAGGGCTCTTGTCATCAGTGTCCAGGCCAGAACCCCATGGCATCCATGCGGTGGGCCAGAGCTGCTCCTTGGGTCGCAAGCAGGATCCCACATCCACTGGCACACCCTGCCTCGCCTGCCTACGACATGCTGCAGTTTGATGGCTTTGAACTGTGTGCCTGGAACGGGAAGAAGCACACAGTAAGCAAGGGAAGGCAGACTTCTTCCTCTGTCCTACAAGGGGGCACATCCAGTGCTCAAGTCCCCAGGGCTGTGTGTTCAGCAGTGATGCTGCCACCGTCCCAGGCAGAGCTGCCCTCCTGGTAATAAAAGTGACCCTAAACAGAGCCCAGAGGAAGCAGAACCCATGGAGGACCCCCCCACCATGACACAGCCAGGCCAGGATCAACTCCACCACGGTGCAGAGCCTACAGCCAGCCTCACTCACCTGCCGCTGTGATTGCTGGTACTCGGCTTCGCTTGCTGACAGCGCCTGGGCCAGTGCCAGATCCTCCTCCTCCTGTGTGCTGCGGGGGACAGCGGTGCATTGTGTGCCTCGGCCCCCCAGGCTCCCCAGAGCCCTTCGGGGCGGCAGGATCTCCTGTCACTGCAACCCCTCCAGGACAGCCAAGGGCAGGGAGCAACTGAGGATCACCCTGAACAGGCCAGCGGCTGGGGAGGGACCAGCTGGGGTTGGCAGCCAGCATCCCGGGCCAAGGAGAACCATGTTAACTCCAGCCTGTAAGATGATGCTTTTAGCAGCACCAGGCAACGTGCCCGAGGATGTGGGCTCCCGGATGTCCTTTGTGAACACCCCTGCTCCACCTCTGTCACGCTCTAGCCATGCTCATCAGCTGACAAGTGGTCAGATAATGGTTTTCCCTACTCTGTGCTCTCAGTCACTGTCCCCTCCCAGCACCCCGGAGGGCTCGCTTGCTGAACAGAGCTCCATGATAGCTCTGGACTCTTCCTTTTTTCCCCAGTCAGCCACACAGAGGCATCATCCAGAGCCACGTGCTGAGAGGAATGTCATCCCGAAGCCACATGATGCTTCCCCAGTACCTCTCACACACAGGTTTGGGGGCATGACACCACGTGTCCCTGGGTCATACCTGGGTGGCTGCGCTGAGCTGCGCGCTGACTCTGCCAGGGACATCTCCAGAGCTCGCTGCAGTGCCTCTTCCTCGCTCTGAAACAAAACATCTTGTCACCAGCTTGGCCAGGGGTGGCAGGAGGCAGCCCTGAGGGACACATGGCAGGTACAGTCTTGCCTGGCCAAGGGTGGGTGCATCTCCCCTCTCCAAGGCCAGATACAGCCAAGGTGAAGGCCTGGGGCTCAGGACAGACCTGCATCTCTCTCTCCCTGCTCAAGGGAACGCAGCCCTGCCTCCCAGTGCAGAGAGCGTGCTAAGAATATCAGTGGGAAGCAGCTTCCAGTCTTCTCCTGCACCCTTGGCTTGCAGAACAACAAGACAACACTTGGGGAAAATCACCAGTGCACTTTGTCCCTTTGGGGAAAGCTGAGCACCAAGCGCAGCTGAGAGCTGCCATTCGCAGGCACCAGAGCAAACTCTGACACCCCACTGAGTGTCTGGGATCCCTGTTTGCCAGGGAAGGCCCAGCTGGGGAGCACCGTGGTCACGTACAGAGCGTGGGTTAAAAAGCAGTCACTGCAGTAGCTCCCCAGGGCATAGGAACCACCCAAACCCACTCCAAATGCCCAAGCCAGGCCACTCACCAGCCCGTTCTGCAGCATGACAGCTGGAGGGGAGGTGCTGCGAGTCTGCGACGCAGCTGCTCTGCCTCCTCTGCAAGCAGGAGAGAAGCTGCGTTATTGTCAAGGCAGGGAGCCCTGGTAAGAGTATGCAGCCCTGCTGATGCACAAGCAGCAGGGAGCTGTCGTGCCTGCATTTCTCAGGGAGCCAAGCTGAGCCTGGTTGTGCCCACCTTAGAATTATGAGTTGGGCCATCACCTTACCTGGCAGGGGCTGGAGAAGAGGGGTTGTCTGCTGGCCGGGCAGCTCCGCTGCTCGATGCGGTGACTGTTTTGGAGGAGGATGCCTGGGCTCTCGCAACTGCAGCATGCCTAGAACAGACAGGATGCCTGCGACCAACTGTTTTACCACCCTGAGCCATCCCTGGGCACTGAATACCCAGGAAGATGAAGCTGGATAAGTAAGATGCCTCCCTGGTTCCCTGCTTCTCTTCCTCTCAAGAGTACCCATGTTGTGGCTCAGCTATGCCGAAGAGTTTCAAGTGCTGTTTCACTCCTCAAAACACTGTGCCAGGATAAGCAGAAACCATCGGCTACAGAATAAGGGGCTGGGCAGAGAAGCAAGAACAAAACAGCCAGCAGGTAGTACTGGTGGCTTTTGCTACAGGAGGGAGAGACTGTGAATACAGCTGTGCTGACTCTACAAACTCTAATGCTGCTGGAGGACACCCTGGCACACACGGCAGGGGGTGTGAGAATGCAGCAGTCCCAGACAACCAGCCAGGAGGAGCTGGGCTTCTTCCCCGTCACCCATCTGGCAAGCACAGCCTCTTCCCTGCCAGCCTGTGTGTCCCCAGGCCCTCACCCTGCTTTGGAAAGGGGACGCCCTGCCCCACTGCAGTCATGGTCCAAGGGGTGCCGGTGCTTGAGGCAGTAGTTCTTGTGGCACTGGTCGCAGATCACCTTCATCATCTCCTTCTGCTTGCAGCCAGGCTTCAAACACTTGTTGGTGAAGATCTGAAAGATGATATGGCAGTGGTGAAAAGGAACACGTTCTGCAGGGCCAGGGCTCTTCCTTCCCTCCATGCCAGGTCCTGGGCACCAACCAGCTTTCCCCACCAGTGCCCTCTTCTGTGGGGTTCTTGAGTTTGTCTCTGAATACTAGTTTTCTTTAGATGTTTTACTAGTAATTCACTACTACTTCGGTCTCCATAGACAAGGGTCTCCACAATCTCAGAATGCATAGCAGGAGAGAGCCTGCCTCACCCAGGGACTCCTGCGGGCCCTGCCAGGGCAGCGGGGACAGCCCAATGTGCTCCAGCTGCTGCTGGGCTAGACTCCTGCAGGGCCAGCTCCCTGCAGCTATTTCCTCTCCTGGCAAGATGGGGCAGCTAATTGCTGATTGCACTTTCCTAATGGTACCACGCAGTTTCCCATCCTCATATCCCAGGTGGCTGCCCAGCCCCACTCCATCGCCACCTCAGCCCCAGACTTGCACCACAAAGCCCTGCAGACGTGCACACCTCCAGCTCACCAACCCTTCCTGCCCTCAGCCTGTGCAAACAGAGATGGCATCGGGCAGGGCCGAGCCGTGTGTTGTTTTCATCCCACCCCCAGGCTTCGGCAGGGACCCAGTGGAGCTCAGCAGCAAGATGGAGAGCGATGGGTTCCTACCTTGCGCTTGCGCTGTGCGGGGTCGGACTTGCAGTCACGGTCAATGTGCTCACCCACCACGACATCGGGCATCTCCCCCCGCCTCACAGGGACTGGGGTGTTGCAGAGGGGACACACAGGGACCTGCACATCCTGCAGAGACAGTAAAAGGGGGCTGGGAGCACGCAGCTGGGCAATCGCGAGTGCTGTGCGGCCATCCCTCTCCCTTTCAGGATCTGCCCGCCATGGCTTCCACAGTGTCACCTGCGGTTCGAGATCCTGCTCACCACCCTCCAAACAGCTTGCCGTTTCTGACCCAGCAGGTGCGACGGGCACGGACACACTCCCTGGGAAGGGAAGACAGCATGGCTGGGAGATGCCCAAACTATTTTACCCAGTGGCAGGCGGCAGGCTGGAAGTCTGTGGCACTGAGAGAGAGATCCTGGCTTTCAGGGACACCTTCAGACTCAGTGCACATCCCAAGGAGGACTGCCCAAGTGACCAAAGAAGTCAGAAATTATTCTGATTCCTGGTTGGGAAAGCTCAGCAGCTCCATGCGGGAGGCTGGATTAGACCTCCTCTCCACGCTCACCTTCTTGTAGGCAGAGGTGCAGTCGTGCTGGGCGTAAGCAACGTGGTCGGTGCAGAAGATCTGCTCGCAGGCATCACACTTCAGGGGGAGGAAGTCTGGGAGCGGGGAGACGCCACGGGCGGAGAGCGTGGAGGTCAGCACCCCTGGTCTTCCCCGACCTCCCGAAGGCACAGCCCTGACCCGCAGCAAAGCCAGGGCCGCTCCTCTCCTCGCCCAGCTCCCAGCACGGAAACAAAAGGGCTGCAGGTCCATAGCTACGTCTTCAGAAATACCTAGGGCTCCTCCCCAAAACACGCCCTCCCCGGGTTCAGGAGTAGCATCATAAAAACCATACCGAGCTCCCTGG